ATTCAGAGAGTGGGTGGAAACAGAATTGCTTCAACAGGGAATAAATACTTTGGTAATCGGAGGATGTACGACTACAAGCTGTGTGCGAGTCAGCGCAATCAGAACTCAGAAGCATTTTGCAAGCCAAGGTCTTCACGTTGTTGTGGATTTAAACTTATGTGGGGCTAGAAAACGTAATTACGTCAAAAGGTGCCCCAGTTGTCTTGAATTGTATATGAAGTTTGGTGACATTGATTCGTCATATAATCGGCATTGCACTTGTGGTTGTGGTGGCATTGAAATGATTTCTCCTGTTGACAAAGCTGTGCAGTGCATGCAACAGGAGAATGTTGATGTGAAAGAAACATTTGACTGGAAGCCATACCTATCATAATGTTTCATCTTGCTTGATTGTTTCTTTACTGAAGAATGATTTCTCATCCTAATAGCAGTTTTATTTTAAAACTGAGTACTTTGGCCCTAAGGTGACCCTAAGTGACCAAGTCATACGCCGAGCAACTTCTTGAATGAGGCTATGTTTATACAACATTGGATAGCTTTCATACTGATGCTAAAAGCTCTCCAGTGTAGTATGAACAGCAATGGCACAGAACTGGAACAAGTCGATCAGACACGTCGAACAGCGTGCCAGAGTGGTTGGCCAATTAAGAAGTCTTGGTGAACTAAATTCGAGTCCTCACTTTTGAATATTTACTTCCATCTCAGTGGATTCCAGTTTTTGCTACTACTTATTCAGTTCCAGTATGGTATGAATGCCTGTTCACACTGCTACACTAAAGTATGGCACAGAGCCTTTCTGATATGTGACGCTCCACTTTCAAGACTGGCACAGCACAGCTTCGCTCCAGTACAGAAATCACCCCCAAATCACCTTTCTTATGTGTGAACAGAAGCTCTAACTGGTATGGTTTTCATGCCAGTGCAAGAGCTATCTAGTATAGTATTAACATTAAGCCTGATGCTATAGATTCAGATGTGGAAAGTTTGTATACATTTGCCAACTTAAACCTGGTTCTTATATATGCCACAAGCCAGCCAGTGACATAGATACTGGGACTGCCAGGGATACTGTTCCAATATGAGAACAGAGAGTGCTGACATCATTTACTATACCAGTCTTTACTCCCAGCATGCCTGCAAATTTGAATCAAGTTGCATGGCAGCCTCTTGTTGCTTAGCGATGCATGTTCCTGAATGTTGCAACAGCATCTCAGGCAGTGTCAGTGTCACAGGTAGGTCGGCAGCGTCAATTATGAGAACCCCTGCTGAATCATCCTAGGATATATTCTTTGAGTTCTAATTTGGTTGATCTAACCACTGAGCTACTAGAGGCTCTTTGGTGCGCAGGGTCAAAATTTAATTATAACTACACCAGTCATAGAGGACTGTATCGGGGACTTGCTCGAAATCAACCGTTCACCAGTGTATGAGACCAAGACCGTATAATATGATTTGGAAGAAGAAGAATTCTAAGACCAGAAAGCTCAGAAAAGTCCCGAGCTGCAGGTGTTTGGACGCTCTAACCACTGAGCTGTGAGAGGCTCTATGGTGAGTAGCCTACATGACAGACACATGAGAATACGGGCCATGAATAATATCCTATTAGCAGACCAGGCTCTCATGTTAGCAAGGGGGGCAAGGGTGGCGCAGTGGTGAGAACACTCGCCTCCCACCAATGTGGCCCGGGTTCAAATCCCGGCGTCGACGCCATATGTGGGTTGAGTTTGTTGTTGGTTCTCTC